GTAGCAGTGAACCAATCAGGAAGAATCTGGCAGTGGTTACGAAAAGAGTATTTTTGGATGAATGGAGATGAATCAGAGAGTGAAAACAATGTTCCCTAAAAGCATTGTGATAAAAGCCAGGAGACACTCCCCTGCACGTCAACATTGAAGGTGCTTGTGTGTTTTAAATATCAATCAAATGCTTATCTTTCCTAATTATATTTCAGCACCAATTTCTAGTTGTCTTTTGTGGCAATTATAATGGTAGTGTTACTGGGTCTCTTTCTGCCAAAAAGAGGATTTTGCTAGAAGCCAGAAACAGAACATGTTTTATGCCTCTGCTGGTTCAACAGCAGCCCCATTTTTATTTCTGTTTGGTTTTGTGAAATAAAACACGCTGCAAATGTCTTCCTGTACATACTGATACTGCCTTAATATAATAATAACCACCTGAAGGCCTTTGTGAACCTTGAAGAATCCTTCAAGCTGTATTTTTTAAATGGTCTGTTTATATATCTGCTCAAAGCGTTTTACAATACAGTTATTTGCCATTCACACACACATTAATACAATGCATCTATGGGCAGCACTTTTTCTATGAGGGGCACTTTGGGGTTCAGTATCTTGCCACAGTACACTTCGGCATACAGAGGGGGAAGTCTGTGATCAGTCCAAACCTTCTGGTTAGAGGACGACCGCCCTACCTCCTCAGCCACAGCCACCCTGACATGTCTCTCATTTTCCTGAGAAAGGCCACAAGCCAGTCATCACATAGAGAATACATAGAGAATAAACTGTTGCTGCCACCTGACAGCAAAAGTATTTCTAATGATCTAATAATTTCTAAGATTTCTAAGATTTATAGACACGTCTTATAACTCTTCATGAATCCAGCTTTTTCACACATTGGGAGCAGTGCATAAACACGATAGTCAAGCACTTACTCCTCATTGAAATGCTGTATTGTTTAGTCAAGGAAACAGCAGGCGGTGAGAGGTGACATATTTCAATTTTACATCTCTGTACGTTTGGCCCCTGCAGGAAGAAGTGAAATAAATGCATGTCCTTGCACTGTATAAGGTCTGTTGCAGGTGGACAGGCACTGTGCATTCATTTGTGCCAACAGAATATGGGAAGGTTTTGTGCTCAGTAAAGCTTAAGCAGCAGTCTGGAAATATAAGAAAAACACGGAATAACTTCTGACTGCGTGCCCTTCAATGAGCACAGCAAAAGATGAAGGTGAGGAAATTATACATAACTGGACTCGGCTGAACTTCCAGTGACACGGCTCATTTTTACCCTAGCAAAGGTCTTGGAGAGAAAATAGACTTTCCATTTGGGTTCACTGTTGTTAACAGCATCACCTCCAGTACTGTTATTGAATTATTCAGCGCCTATTAGTCGACCATTTACCTGGACACAAAGTCTCCTAGCAACATTAGTCTGTGGTCAGGTAGGTGCTATGCCGCAAAGAACACAGGTATGCGAGGACATGTCCATATATAGTCCCAGAAACCTGAGTGTTCACAGGTCTGTGATCAGATAGTCAATGTGTTTTCATAGCATGTGACATTATTTAAATTTATAAATAAATATATTTAAGTCATTATTGGAGAGAGTTACTGGCATATAATTTAGTTAAATTTGTGTCTTTGCCAACATGCACATTTAAATATACATATACACAAATAAATATAAATGTACATTACTATAACCGTATTTCTCTCTATAAATGTGATCATAACACCATTGACCATGCTTGACTATTTTCGATTTTATTTTGTTAAATCCTTCTTTCATGCAGTTCAGTTAGTTCTACTTCCTGTTACTGTTCACAGCTTTTGTCTGTTCACCTGTTTTCAATCAACCCATCAGATACCCTTGTATTTATACCACCTGTGTTCCACTTCCTGTTTGCCAGATTGTCTTTGTCCTGCAGTAGTTTTGTGTTCCAGCCATTTTTGTATTTGCATGACCTCTGCCTGTTTTTTGGGACTTTGAACTTTTTCCTTTGACACTGAGTTTTTTGTGCTTGTGTTTGCAAGTTAACTTTAGAATGTACCCTCCTTTTCTTTCTTCTTTTCTTTTTCTTTGCTACTGAATCAGATTCTGTATTTTGGGCCAGATTTGACCCATCAAAAATATGTATGTAAATATATGTGTGTATTTGTGTACAAACACATTTGACCCAAACAAAATAGGATTTAGAATATTCATTATACTATTTTCACATCTCCATTATTGAAATGTTATTTGTTTCACAGACTTCATTCCAGATCCCTTAAGTATCCTTACTGGCTCAAACACTTGAATGACGACTGTCAGGGTGACAGCTATATGGTGAAATATTGTGTACGCTTCTTTTGATTACCTGTATTTTATCTATATTTGCACAAATCATTCTTCTCTGAGGACCTATAAATTAAACCAACTGAGAGCACATAAGGCAATGAGCCCAATATGAAAATATCAACAGAGAATAATAAACGAGCAGCAAGATAATGATGTATGTGCATAATATATGAAAATTCACAGATGAAGTCTCCGACCATCCACTGCACTCGCATTTCGAATCGCCACGCTTTCCCACACTTTGAGGGCGAGAGATTGTAAATGTCAGCGGCTTGTCACTCAGACTCAGTTCCACATGAGCAGTGAGATGGACCCTGCTAAAAAGGGAGGACTGGACGACAGAGGAGACATTAGTATCGTGTCCGACTCGCTCAGTGTTGGGCTGTCTATCACTAGATATGTTTGAGGGACCACTTTATCACTTTATGCATTTTTTTATTCAGCCCCTGATGATCTCCATTCAGTGCCTCACGGCTGGTTGTTGATTGGTTCTCCCCCCTTGAATAACTGTTTAAGCTCTTCCAATTGGCTGCGGCCTCAAATTGCTTTCCCCCTATTTCGGTGAGGTTAAGTTGAAATGGAAAAGAAATTATGTTTTCGATTCAGGGATCAGATGTGAGTGAAAATGACTTTCTTTCAGTCACTGCAGAAAGGACAAAATTAAACCTTCAAAAAGATTTTACTGCAAATATTAGACAACCTGATACATAGATATTCAGATGACTATATTTAAAAATACTGCATTTGATGTCTGAACTAGATTTTGATGCTTAAATCTGACCATTCTGAGACTTAACTGTTCACTGAATTAAAAATATGTCGCATTATTTGTTGTTGTGCAGAACTTGACAGCACAAAAGTGTTTAAATACAAACATTTCAGCTTGGTTAAAATTCAGTGACAGAGAATTATACTATAAGGGGAAAGATGTCTCCACCACCTGACATCGGTGATATGCAGATGGTCTTCGACAGCTATCCGACTCTGCTATAGATTCCAGCAGAGCATTTCCACTGCGCACTTGCCAAGGCACAATTGCCCAACACCGGTTCAGAGCCAAATGGCCACTAGGCTTTTGTGTTAGTTGAAGTAAATCTCACTTTGGAGAGGAACATTCTCCTCTGGACACTGATGCAGTGCAGTATCCTGAGGTTTAAATGTGACTAAAAGTGACTAAAAAATCCTCAAACATCTTCCATCTGCTCAATGAGTTATGCTTATAAATTCTGCAATTAAATGCATAGTTAATTCCGGCTATTTATCAGTTTATTGGTGTGGCGTTGGTGAGTTTTGTAGTAAAGACCACCAAGCTGTCGGTTGCTGGCACCAAGACGAGAACATTTTATCTCCCGGCGCAACGACTGTGGAGTGACAGACCTGAGGAATTTATTAAGTGCCTGGTTAAGTCAAAATGATGCATCGTTTCACTCTTATTTTCAAACGTTAAGACCTCGGTATTCTAGGGGATGAATTAATCTTAAGAAAAATGTTATGGCAGTGAATGAGTGTGAATCTGGAATACTTAGCAGCAGGTTTCTTTTGGGACAGGGACATGCTCATGTGCAGAATGTAATGACCATGAAGTGGAGCGGCACAGCTTGGCAGCATGCTCTCAGGAAGCAACATGGCCTCCTGGCTGGAGGCAGGACCTGGAGATTCAAGGATCATTAGAAATGGACCGTTATACATGAACATAGCTGCAGAGAGAATGGGGACCGGCCTCGGTCAATAAAATCTGCAGCAAATACGGACGTGTGGTTCTTTGCATAATGCAGCTGCAAGCCTCCTACGCAAGTCTCTGTCACCAACCCTGCCCATGTCAACCCTCCCATCTGTTTGGGAGCTAATTGATATGGACAATAAAGTAGCATTTTCGCAATAGAGATGAGCTGAGCAGAAATCACAGCGATGCAAAATACTGTCATTATAAAAATACCTTTTTGTATTTTTGATTTTACAGCAGATATATTCTCCCGCTTGGGCTGAGCTGAAAACACAAGTAGGCCTCACAGTGGGTGGGGTTTTGAAATTATAACAGGTGTGGTATGTATCATTACAGAGAGTTATCCACCAAATCTATAAATCTCAGCATCACAGCTGATCATCTCTCTCTCTATATATATATATGTGTGTGTGTGTCTGTCATATAGCAAGGGAAAGTCAAGACACCATAAATGAAATTGCAGTACTGTGCAGTACTGAGTGCTTGAGGCATTTGCGAAACAATTTCCCACTGAGAGAGGCCAGGGGGAAGGACCATTTACACCCCTTTCAAATCCCTTAGATTTTGCCGACTGTACATCCTAAGTCCTCATTTCCTACTCAACCACACACACCCACACACATACGCTAACCAGTGACGGGCAAAAACTCGCAGGGACAGTAAGCACTGAACAGCTCTGCGCACAGTAGGGCATCTTTGGCCACCTACAGACTCCGGAGAGGAGATAGAGACACTAATCCAACATCGAAATCAGCACTACAACGTTTTCTTTTTTCCACTCATAAGATTTTAGCAATTTGATTTAAAGCCTTACTAAGTTTGCTATATAAGCATGGAATGGCATGAAATAAAATAAATCAAAGAGTTCCCTGAATGCTCAAACCGATATACTTTAATGGAGAGTCCCACAAAGAAAGAGCAAAAAATGCTTTTATTGTTCCCCAGGCCCTGCAAAGACCTATGCAAAATGTAATGTTTGAGTCTTCCTTTGAGCTTTGTTACAAGGGACCACTACTGTGCAGTGTTCATTACAGTGGAAATGATATGTGCAAACAAAGAGAGGCGCCCAAGTAGCACACTGCTGCGTCTTTTCATCTCAGAATTGCAAATGAACGCTGCCTCCTCACCTGGTCCCTGCAGGCAGTGTCCCAGTGCCTCCAATCAGTGCTTCATTGACAGCAGGCATCCAACAGAAAACTGGGAGTGCTAATAGCTGCAGATGATGCCTGATAAACACGTTCTCCCTCTCTACCTGCACCCCCACATACTTCATTGCCTAGCAGGGTGGCCTCCAGCCAAGGTCAATATGTGCAGTTGCTCAGTGAACGGAGCTACTTATGCAGAAAAAAAAAAACACTGGCACGCAGTCTTATTTATGAGTCAGGTCTGACTCAGTTTGGCTATTCTCCATCTGCTTTGTAATTTTAATAGGTGTATCTTCATCCATACTGGCACATGAAATTGATGAAAAAACATTACCTTTAGTCTGGATGAAATGTAAAGGATATGCAGAAACAACATATTTTACTCAATAAGGAAATGGACCATGCACTAATGGTAAGCCTATGGGCATTCTGAATTATTGTGCAGGGCTGTGCTGTCCATTGAAACGCAGTATTAGACTCCCAGTGCAGCAGATTTCTGTGGCCAAACCCATTCTGTCTAAATAACAGGGAGGGTGGCACCGTAAACACAGACTTGCTTGGCTTTGTCGAGCTAATGACTTCCTGCTCCAGTGGTTTGTGAAACAGTGTTAGAGCCAAAATAAGTAAAATCGGTAGCAGAATTTAATCTGTCACTCAATGGAAAGCCTTTAAGCAGAAACATACAGCCACCCAGAGAGTGCACACAGGCGAGGTGAAATTACAGCAAAAGCTCCCTGGAAGAGAGTGAAGTACTGGAGCAGGTTGTGTGTAGGAATGAGGATTACAGATTGGTTGGATAAATAGGGGATTCTTTAAAGAAAAACACATTGAGTGTGAATGTCAACCAAGGTGATAATCTAAAACCATCAATCCCTTTGAATCTCTGTAAGCTTCACCTATGTAGAATAGAGATTGATGTGGGGAGGAAGACTGCACTTGCTCTCAGTTTTTGATCTCCCTGAATTTGCCCCCAGCTTGGTTTTGAGCTGCGTAGCTGTGCAGCAGTCATATTAACAACCCAAGTGTTGCAAGGTAGTGTGCTCAACCTTCAGTCTGTTCTTTTTTCAACCACCCAGAATTAATCAGTCCTATGAATCGTTTGTTCCCTCTGTCGTCTCCTGGGAACTCTGGATGGGTTTGATGAGATGCTTCTCTGGGGTAGATGAGCTAAAATTAATCAAAAACATCAATGAGTTGTTTTGCTGAAACCGTCCTGCCTCTTTTCTAACCTCCTTTTCTCCAGCTGTTTGTCTGATGGTGGTGAATATGAAACAAAACTGCGTCCAAATCATACCTCGGTGCAGCCAACACTGTGAGCTCAGTGAGCAAATGGCTGAATTTATTTACTAAAAAAAACCTCTGAAATCACTCATATTACAAACAGCAAATGGCGATTTGATTAATAAAGAAAATAGACAGGCTTTTCCAAAAGATACAACAAAATGTACAAACTTCTAATGCCAGCAACTCCTACTCAGAGGCAATGAAACTTGCAATGTATTTTTTTTTTTCATTTAACAAGTTGAGTCTGAATCACTGACATCAAAGTTTCCTGTGTTCCACATTAATATTCATGTCTGAAGCAAAGAAAAAAACAGAGAAAAATAAGACATGAAATGCAGATTAGCCTCTTCTGAGAAGATATGCAAATAGAAGCCAGACACTTGAAGCCTTTCTTTGCACATGAGCAGACAGTCCACATGCACATATACTTTACATGCTTCCTTATTCAAATCTATACGCACATGCGTAATTATCATTCTGTACGGATAAATATAGAAAATAACCAGCAAGTTTCTGTATCTGGACGACGACATGCTGTAAGTCTAGCTGTTACTGCTCTTCTGCTCTAAAGTACATAAAGGTATTTTATTATAATAGCAGACTGGCTTTAATTTAAAGGTGTTTTGGCTCTGTTTTCTGAGGTAATACAGAGTGCACAGGTATTTGAATAAAATAAACCAGTGTCTGGGGGAAAGAAAATATCTACATAATACCTCTGCATAAAACGTCAGTCAACATATCTATTCTATATCAAAATATGATTCTGAGACTGCCTACTGTTTTGAATATGTTATTCAGTAAAGGAAAAAATCTGCCTCCATATATTAATTTTTTCGATCTGCACTAACAACAAAATCTGCAGCTGTACCATCAATATTGAATTATTGTACAATATGATGTTTAGAGGAGCTTTACTTTCACAAACAGAAAAAAAATCCAGTGTCATTGCATCTGAAAAAAACAAACAAAAAAAACACCATACATTTTTGCATCTTTTAGATGCTCAAAAGAAAAAGCTCCTTTATAAACAGCAAAAACATAAATTCCCTTTGAACCTTTAGAAATATGACAAACATGGATGAAAGCATGACTGAGCCTTAAAACAGCCAAACCCGTTCCATCATGCCATCCACTTAAAGTTAAAAATAAAACATGAACACAACCTAAATCTTATCTTAATAAAACCTCCTCCTTGCTAACTTTAGAAAATCTTATTTCATTTGAGTATTGTGTCATGTAAAGGCTTTGATTCCACAGATGTTATATATTTATGCAGACTATAAATATATATGTATATATATATATACTCTTAGATCCAGTTTTATCTTAAATCCATTTCTCAGCATTTCAAAGATATAAAGCCTTCAACATTTAACATGCGTATATTATTTTATTATAATGCCAGCAACCATGAGCGAGCATCACTTCACTCAAACGATGGGTATCTCAATGTGGAACAAGAGCCACATGTAAACTTACAGTGAAATCATTAATTGAAAATGGGTTAATTCCTCCCTGCACAGTAGTCCACATTAATGGGGGAAGAGATAAGAACAGCCTTAATAGTTGGTCAGACGTTCTTGAAGAAGTCCAGCCAGAGTGGGCTTATCTAAATCCTCTTGGCAGAGATATCTGACTCGTCAGAGGAGAGTGCAGGGGAGTGCTTAAATTTGCCTGAAAAGCAGCTCTTAGAACTAAAGTAGCAGCACGAAGTTTCCCAGAAAGTGCTTAACATTACTGCGCTGTGTTGACTGACTTATTCAATATGTTCTATCATTAAAAAAGAAAATAGAAAAAGCACAATCTAACCATCAAAGCAAAACCACTTCATAATGTGAATGGGTGTGCTATAATAAGTTATGTAAGATAAAAACGGCCAGACTAAACTAATCAAAAACAGTGTTCGTTATACAGTGTTTGTTTTTGTCCTTGGCAGCTGGGAAGCAGCAGTGGTCCCCCCCTCTGAGTTCAGTGTCACCGAAAGCACAAGGTCGCCCGCCTCCGGGTTACGTCGTGCTCTCTGCCAATAAGCCATCACTGTCGCTCTGCCTCAGCGACTGCCTGCTGGAATCTCTGTCCGCCTCATCTTCTTCATCAGATCTGCCAGCGCCCAGGTGTCTCCGGTATACGGGAGGGCTACAGGGGTCAACACACATATGGACACAACGTCATATCATTACTATAGAAGACGTGATGGGTGTAAAGATGACAAAAGGGGTTTTATGCAGATATGGGAAACTACAAGCAAATAGAGATCACATTCTTCTGCAGGCAGCATCCCCTAATGCATGCATAGTGTATGTGTGCATTGTTATCAGGGTTGCTTACAATTATTTCAAACTAGTGATGTGATATGAGAACATTTATATTTGAGGTGGATGATCCCATAATTAAACAGTTTTGCTTGGGTTAACACTCATATTTGTAAATTCACATTTCACATTCACCTGGGCTGTAAACCTGGACTGTACATTCTATTTATCCATAAAAAAGACTTGTTACAGATCATATAAAACTTCAGCTTTACATCCGTAGCCTATGTTGTATTGATTTGATAAATCCAGACTGACATATGCACTGCTCTAAAATGTCCTTTAACACAAACATGTACTGAAGCAACGGATGCTGACTTGATGTCCAACTATCCACAACCTGAAACCTCTGTATTATAAGGTAGTTGATATTTGAAAAAGGCTGCCATCCTCTATGTTCTGACAAACTGCTGATGGTCAGACATGTGACAGTTTGAGATGAAAATCTAAATTTACTGTCAAACCCTCAACCACATCTATAATTAAGAAAACAGTGGTCCCATAATGTATGTAAAGTTTTATTTGATATAAAAAGACTGAATTAATGTGAATGCTACAGACAACCAGGGCAGTGGTTTCCTTTTCTAGTTCGTCAGATGATAGCTGCTCTGAGATTGACACATGTACTGTCATGACTTTCAGTTACTTATGGAACTCTGAGGTATCCCAGTGTGAAACATCAAAATGAATCTGTGGATGAAAACTAAAATGTTGTCACAATTTTTATTAAATTTTTTTTTTAATTTTAAAGTATGTTTTTGTACTGTGACTGTTTGAAGTTACAGTTTTAATTAATTTCGGGTTAAGCTGTTGAAGTCAACTCTATGCTATAGAGCACCTCTCATGGCAAATTGCATATTGCAAGCTTTATAGTCATCTTGGGTGAAAGAGACTGAAAATTGAAAGCAATTATTTTGTTAACATGCAGACATTTGAGCTATTACCATGTTTATCCCACTAAACAAGCCTTAATTCAAGCGTTAACCCATGAGCTAGTGTGCAAGTGGAAAGGCCTATTCATATTCTAGTAGAACAACCAACCAGCAGCTGTCTTACTGTTTCTTTTTTAATCACACAGGAAAAAGAGAGCTAATTTTAGCATTTAAATTATGATGCAAAGTGTCATATCTCTTTAAACTCCTCTCAGTTTACACATGGAGGCAAGAAATTTTGTAATTTAGTTTTTCATCTCATTGCCAACATCTGTTAGTTGTGGAGGAGTGACAGACAACTCTCTTTTAACACTATGGCAACATCAAAAACAACATTAAGAGAAACACTCGCGTTTGCAGAGATGTAATCCATCTTTGCAGAGACGGAATTGAAAAAGCAACACTGCTTTACAACACTAGCAATTCTGATGACACATAATTACAATAATGGATTACTTTAAACAAGAACTGTATCAGCAGTTGTTTATAATGGAATTTAGAAATAAAATGAAAGAAACCAGAGAGTGTCAGGAACGCAGACTAGAGGCAAACTCCAGTGTACTATAATAAATTGGTGATCTTTTAAATGAAGACAGATGTTGGCAAGAGCAAAGAAAAACAAATGGCCGCGTGCTCTTATTAGCCAGTGTGACATTTGTAAAATGCAGCAATGGCTGATCTAGTACAAGTCAACATTAGTGTATCCCAGAGATTATTCAGTGTCACAATAAACAAAAACATTCATACTAAGTTAGTACATTAGGTAAAAGGTCCTGAATCAGTTTCAGTTATTCCAAGCTCCTGGGTTATTTTCACACCAAGCATCTCCTTACTGTTGGTATCAGTCACTGTCAGGCATGTAGAGATACTTCATCACCATGTTATCCACCTTCTTCTGCTTCTTCTTGGATTCCTTCTTGCCAGTTGGCCCACGACCTGCCACCTCCTTTTCATCATCAGAGGAGGATTTTTGGGGCCCTTTTGGGGCCCTTTTGACGCTGCTGGAGCTGCGGTAGGAGATGGTTGAGTCGGAGGAGGAGGATTCCGATGACTCTGAGGAAGAAGACGAATCCTCTGACTCACTTTGCTTCCTACTAGATCTCTTCTTGGACTTCTTGCCCTTCTTCCTCCTTGAACTCTTTCTGCTGTGACGATCGTCTGAGGAGGAGTCATCTGATGGAGAGGCTCTACTCTTTTTATCTTTGCGACTGCGGGAGCTGCTGGTACTCAGGGTACTGGAAGGCCGGTTGCTGTAGTCCAGAGCAGAGCCTGATGCGGAGCGCCGCACACTGGATGAACTGCAGCCCAGCCCCTCGTCTCCTCCCTTCTCACTTCCTGGCACCTTCTTCTCATTCTCCTCCTCACCACTTGAGTCATCCAGTTTGCTGCGCTTGAATTTAATTGGTTTGAAGCTCAGCACCTCATTGATTGCAGCCTCCAAGTCGGGATCTAAGTAGTTGCGGTGGGTGACTGTCTTAATGTCAGATAGATCTGTCGGGTTGCTGCTTGAGGACCGTGGTTGAGCCGGGCTAGAAGCGCTGCGACTTATGGATCGAGGACTGTAAGCTGAAGTTCCCCCTTCACTAAAAGCTAGACTCTTGGCATCATCTTCATCATCATGAACATTCAGGCCAAATTCACTGAGGCCGCAGCTGCGAGCCAGGGACAAGCGGGAGCTACTCCGCCTGTCTTCTTTCCAAGAAGTGCTGCGATGCAGTGATCTGGGGCTAGTGCGGCTCACACTACTGATAGTCGATTTATTGTCATCATCCATGTCCAACATGCTCCTCCTGGTCAACAACCTGCTGGGAGCCACAGACGACACCATGGACTCTTTATCAAACTCAGGGCTGCTGCGGGAGGTCCAGCGAGACTCCAGGCCTTTCCTGGCTCTGCTGGTGGCCTCAGAATAGGCCGAGGAGATGACAGAGCCTTTGTCATCCAAGTCTTCCTGCGCCTGGCTCTTCCTCCTATCGTCCTGTAGCTCTCCAGACTTAGACTTTGCTTTACGGATTGAGGCGTGGTCTGGCGCGTCAGGCTGTTCTTTAAGAGTGCTGAACAGGGAGTTCTCATCACCTGTACCCCCAATGGAGTCTTTCAGGTTGGCGCGCTTCCTGTAGCTCAGGGAACTCATGACAGACACCGATCTGCTCTGCTCTACTTCTTTCCCATCTTTACTGATGTCACTCATCTTCTCCTTACCTTCTTTTACTTCCTTGGCATCTGCATTTGCTGAATATCTAAAGGGTTATGAAGTAAGAATTGACACCAGACACGACAGAGGACAAAAAGAAAATTTTCTGAAACTACCATTAAGAGGAAACTCATTCGTTTTGTCCTTGGGGACAGTCAAGAGTCAGGAAACAGACAGTGTACCATTGGCTATTGCTGTTATGTACAGTATCCACTGTAGGAAGTGAGGCAATCAACCGGTGAGAAAATCTAACTGTGGCAGAGGCGTCATTTAGCAGGCGTGCCAACTGGCCAGGGGCCACCTCAATAAATTTGACAGCAGCCGTTTCCCCATTCCGCCTACTGTCATTAGACAGATTACTGGGAAAGAGGGATGACACCTAATCACACAAAATACCCATCCTTCTGTTGCAAACGACCCTGGGTAATCCTGGGCCTTTTTTACGGTCTGGGATGTGGGTCGTTCTATCGCTAGGTTACCTCAGGGACATACATGGTAATCTGTCATGATGCAAAAGGATGTGACCACTAACCTGGTACTTTTCAGGCTTCCCTCGTCTGACAGGGTCTTGGTGGAGCCTTTGTTCTTGGAAAGCCAAGACTTAACTCCATCCACACGGTCCTCCACCTCTGAGTCTGTGTCTGTCTCATCCCCACTGTGATGAAACAGAATCAGCAAAGGTTTGTGACACGCCAACATAAAACAGTGAAAAATATTCCCTCTAATAAGTCATTTTTACATACAGAGCGAAAATCTATCAATCAAGTGCAGTAATTTCCTTTGATTTCAATACAGGTCAATTTATTTTCCCTGAATACTCACACAGTCTCTTGATACTTTCCACTAATCTGACTTGTGCGACAACTCCTAATGATTTTCAGACAAGATTATTACACCAAATGACTTGTTATGAGAATATTTGATGTAGTGTAGCATCACAGTTATTCCACAGGCAAAATAATAATTAGTTTTCACATCTCAGAAGTGTTTTGTTAGTCATTTCAAAATTGAAGCTTTTTGTTAGTAATTGTATCCGTGCTCTCATAATACCGGGGGTCAGTATGATGCACAGCAATCCAGGCAGGCCACACGTGAGCATGAATGTGTTATACAATGATATCTACAGACTCAAAAGGCTTTTCAACAGCTGTAGATGAGCAAAAGCAAAAAATCCATCATCTAGCCAGAATGTAGATGAGGCTCTTGGAGGCATAATTAACTTGTTTGGCTGGATCTAGCCTGCTCGCATCTGTGTGGCATGTCACCTGCTCCTGGTGATTGTTATTGGAGAAGAGCCATGAGAGCCCAGTGGCCCTGCGCTTGACATAACAATCAATATACAAAGACCTGCGGATCACAATGAAAAAGCATGCTGGATCCCACCTGCATGGGCTCAATCCTCTAAATCTAAGGTGTATTTACTGAATTATGCGCCCCATTGTCCCAGAAGCTTAATGTGACAGGGACATGGTGAGAAAGACGAGGGAGAGAGTGGCAAAACCTCAATGGTGGCAGTCAATGCTGCCAACATGGTCAAAATGCATGTAAAAAAGTATCTGTTTTGCTTGAAACAAAAGCTTCTGCAGCTAAATGTCATGGGAAAATAAATGTATGATTTTACATGGACAGATTTAAAAGTGCACTGAGGCACGTACTGTATGTTCTGAAGATATATACTACACTTAACCTGTGTTGCCATGGCAAGCTCTGTCAGAGAAAATTACATTGTCCACGAAATAGTTTACGGCCTCAGAGCGAGACAATGTACTGTATATTAATATCAGACATGACAGGGTTGTTGAGGATAAGGCGGATATTTCAATTCCTCTTGATTTAGAGCAGAGTGACTTTCATCTTCACTGTTATTCATAGCCTCACTTTCGGTAACTTTCAAAGAAGCGTGCTACATCAATCTGAGATGTTCGCCTTGTATATCACTGAAACGCAGATATAATTCATCGAGTGTCCACGGAGAGCTGACTGTCATTAAAAATGAAAAACAGAGAAGCAGGTAACAGCTCTTGCTTCTTGGAAAAGCTTATCCATCTAAACCTTGGAACACGTTGAAAAATGCCAGAAACTAGCAAACGCGGAGAGGTGTGAGATGACAGACACACTGCTGAGCTCTATCATTTGTCCACATTCCACATATCCATCTATGTAGGTCTCCCAGTGAGCAGTGTACCGTTGCTTTTGTCACCAAAGCTTTGTGTCACATTTCCTCAGAGAACACAGTGTCCTCTCGCCTCTTTTTTTTTGGTAATCTGCCTAAAAGCATTTCTTTTTTTTTTTTCATGATAAAGGTGGTGGCAGAGCTGAGAGCGAGCGCAGACAGAATCAAGCCTTAGATTCTCGGACTCAGCAATAATCAGGCTTTTAATGCCTTTTAAGAGCATTTACATATACTTCACCTTCTCGCCATCAACCTTACAACCAGGTTTTCTTAAGGGAGGGTGATAATAATGATCATTGCAGAGAGAATAAATGGCCTGAATATGTGATGGTCTACACAAAAGCCTTTAAATGTTACAGTTTAAGAGGTGTTTCATGAGGCGGCGAGCTAAAATTGTGGGTCCAACCTCAAGCTGTTATATGCCACTGCTTTATTCTCCACTCCCTCTCTTCTCTACCGCATGCTAAAGAAGACTGATAAAAGCTCACCAGCAAAAAAAAAGGAAAAGATAATAGGTTCATTAATACTAGCAAGTTGATTACACATGCTGCCCATTTGTCAGCTCTGATGATGCTTTGACTTTTTAACATGATCTATTACACAACAAAACACTGACGCCAGCCCACAGCGAAATCCTCACCCCCTACCTCTCTTCTCACACACACACACACACACATATAAACACACAAGCATGAAATAAAAGGTGGCTCGCAAGTGAGTGCTGTGCAAATGATGTCACAAACAATTTGTCCTTGGTCCCACACTACTAGCTAACCAGTCCTGAGGCTCGCAGATACAAACAAGCCCCAAGAATTTAGAAGTGAACATTAATCGCTTCTGACAATCGGCCTGCGCTGGTTGTAAATCTTTGTCAGAAACGCTCAGAATCAATGTATGTATGGCTCGGTTCTATCACTTTAGCACTTGTGGTCACAAAAAAACATATTTTTATGGCGTCTGTTCAACATGAGCTGATTGCATAGGGGCTAAAATGTGCATATAGGATCTCTCATTATAGGGTCATTCTGCACTGCACACACTGTGATGTAATTCATAGTCAAGGAAAATCAACACCTTGTGCTACAGATGAAAAAAATCCAACCCTAATGGTCAGTCTACTGATGAAGGTTTTTCATAGTTTGCTTTAAAGCAGCTCTCAGTGCCTGAAAAAGGCTTGACCTTTGTTATTTTACATTATGTCCTCCAAAAACAATAATAATCCAGCCAGTGTAACCTCTGCTTTGAAGCATCCAGTACAAAAATATTGAATAATAATGCAAATCAATTGGAAAAAACACTTCATAATTAGAACTAAAATCACCTCCTCGCTTATTGCTCATCCATGCTGCTAATGCAATGATGTCAAAGGAGGGAAAAAATGCAATTAAGTAAACACGGCGTGTCATTGTTCTTTTCCTTGAGTTGCACAAAAAGAAAGGCAGAGCACTGACACACACACAGGTTTCCTGATAACAAACGGATAACACACCGCATGGTGATTAACATGGGTGATGCCATGTATCTCCGAAGAAGCAATCAGATGTTTAAGTGGGGGATGACGGCTGGGTATATGTGCTGAAGACAACATTTCTTTATTATGCTCTGATGAAGGTTCAAATTATTTAACATGCCACAACGATTCTTTTCATTGTATAAAAACTGCAAAAAAATGGGGATTTAGTCAAACCAACATATTTTACATTCACAATCGCACATTTAACAAACAGGACAACACTATGAAATGAGATTGGATTAGTGGAGCATTTGCATGCATGGAAATCAGCAGCAGAGCTCTGGGTGAAAACGTTTTGGCTGTGCACTGCTTGATGACTGTGCAGCCGTGGAGTCACAGGGCGCTGCAGTCATTTCATCGTCACAAACATCGCTCACACAGTTGCACCTAAGTATGGAGCTCAATTCATGCCAAAACTTAAACAAACAAAACACATTTTCTATTCCCTTGCAAACACAGTGTGCTTTGCAAATATAAAACCCCATTAAAAAAACGAATACATTTTGTTTTGCAAATACAAAACGCACCTGACAAAGAAATACACTACATATTTCTTATAAATTATGCTTCAGAAACAAATAGCCTTCCCCATTTCATACAGGTACATACAAATAAATCCTTCAAGTACAAAAAATGAGTATTAAGTTTTGGCATAGATTTAGCTCCACACTTTCAAAGCACATGCAAATGACTTCCACAATGCTAAGTTTGTGCAGATCGTCTCTTCATGTAATACTTTAAAAATCATTACAAGAACAAGTTACTTAGATATTTGCACATTTTCAACACTATTTTCAACTGTTTATTGAGCAAAATGCAAGACACCACTTATTCTAAATAGCCCCATTCACTTTCACTACATTTCATTTCATCTCTGGTAATGTCCTATGGGTGTAAAGTTATTCTTTGTTTTTTTTTATTTAATTACTTTTAGTTTGAAACATGAAAACAATGTATTACCTCAACCAAGGACATAATGTTTCCGTCTGCGTTTGTCTCTGTTAATTAGCAGGATTATGGACGGATTACTGCAAAACTTGGTGGAACGATGCAGAAAGATTCACTTAAGAACCCCCAAAATTTAAGCGTGGGTCTGGATTTTTTTTTTTCCCCTTTCTTAAACATTACAAAACAGGGCTTTTTGCAACGATTTTGTTGATTTCTCAGAGAATAATTCATGGATTGTGCACAATTTGGTGCGGCTCCAAATTAACATTGTGGTGGTTTCATGCCGTTTGTCCATCTGTCAGAGAGGGCTATACAAGAACTACTAAACCGATTTTAATGAAACTGTGTGGAAGGGTTGGACACGGGCCACAGAAGAACTCATTAACTTTTGGAGTGATTCCGATTAAGGTGGCAGATCCAAGAGTTTTTCACTCTGTTTAACATTGTGAGATATGACGTCTTTTGACATTTTTGTGAATTTCTTAAAAAATAATGCAGAGGTGGTGGAGGTATATGCTCTACTGAGTCACATTCTAGTTGTAATTGCTTTGGACAAAATCATCTAGCGAATTTTCAGCTTGACACTGTTAATAGATTTATATGTCCAGCCTGAGTATTGCTGTGGCATGCCTACGTAAAATCGCTGAGGGGCTGTGATATTGAAATTTCTATTTAATAAATTTAATTTTTGCAAAAGCAAACAGTATCCCTGAACGTAACCAAATTCCTAAGTTGTTGTTTTTGTTTTTTCAGGCTGTAATGATTAAAAAATTCAAATTAAATCACAAATAAATCTAGGACTCAAGTCTCGTTAGAAAGAAAAAAACATTTGATTTGTTCCAAACTGCCAAAAAAACTAATATAGGAAATATTGGAATGTCTGTAGAGAAGGATCAGAAGATTAAGTCAGTGTGTGGAATGACTAACAAGTGATTTGGAGACAGAAAAACAGAAGTTCAGTGAAATCAGCTTTTAACCCAAGATCCAAACCAGTGCATGATGGTTAACGATGATGCTGCAAATGATAGCAGAGGATGGTGTTAGACACATAACATTCACGGAGACAATGATGCAGTATAACCACAGGTCTGTAATGCTTTGTTGTGTTTCAGGTTGAATCTGCAGCGAGTAGAGAGTGTTGTGCTCTATTTATCAATCTGTAGTTTACGTTGTGCGAAGTATCTTGTGCATCATCAGATTTTTTTTCCTTGTTTCTCTAGGAAAGAAAAACAGGCCCTGAAATCTCCAATAAGTGTGAAGGTGTCCAGACACTTGGCTCAGAATAAAATGAAACTGAATGAAACATCAGGGCCTTTTAAGCAATAGGTCTTTTTATAAGAGATGTATACCACAGACATGAATTTCCATAAGCTTTAAAATTGCTTCTCCTCACTGTGTCATTGTAAACAACACAAACTTTGGGGGAATACTGCATCATTCTCTCCTGCGGGAGGTAATGGGACGAAAACAAAGGATGCATTTTCCCATTCTCACGTTTTGTTCTTTCTTTTCTGATATTTTGTCACCATGTCTTGCAAACTGTGGAAAGTGTGGAAAACACCAAAAAAAGAGAGGAGAAAGAGAGAAGGTGAGAGACATTGTAGAAAAGGAGAAGGTGAGAGACATTGTAGAAAAGGACAAAATGAGATATCAGCAAATAAATCGTTTTACACCTTTTTCCACACACAAAAACACGAGATTACTCTCCATTGCATATCCGTGACTTGATAAATCAACTTGTGCTGCTGCCGGCCTCCTTCTGAAGCGGAGCCGCTGTGTGTAGTGTCTTCCTTTCAGAGATCTGAATTACTGCAGTCAGTGTTTACCTCAGTGGGCTCAGAGCTAGACTAACCCTCAACCCCGCTGCAAAGAGGGAAGGGGGGTAAACCAAACAGGGAAAACCAGCGCTGAGACAAAAAGATCAGAAGCAGGGAGCTAAATTAAACCGTGTGAGAAGTGTCTGGGGAACACAGTGTAGTATGACTCACAGAGTAACAAAAGAGGTTAGAGAGGAATTGATGTCGGAAGATGTGGGAGACTGCGAAGACCGAAAAGATACGTGCTGTGATTGACAGACTCAAACTCTTTTGGTAACTTCTCTCGCAACTTATGACAAGAACACGCTGGTACAAAACACACATTACAGATCAAGTGAAGCAAAGGTAATTGTATCGTCTTTTGTAGGAATTTAAAAGCGGATACCTGTTGATTAAGTCGTCATTGTCGTCACTCTCCATCTCATCCTCGATCGCAGCCTGCAGGTCACCTATCCTCTTGAAGGCCAGCTTAAGATCCACTTGTAAGCTCTGATTTGCCGCCTCCAAGCTCTCGATGTCCATTTCCTTGCGAGCGGATCAGAGCATAGAAGAAGTGGGAAGTTAATCTCCAATACAGTGTAAACCTCCAGCGAACCTGCACCTCCCTGCGCCCAAAGGTCTCACCAGCTCGTGCTTCTTCCGGCTGGCCTCGCCCTCCTTCTTGGACAGCTCGACCATTTCCTCCTTTATGTCCCGTATCTGCCGCTGCATTCGCTTGTTCTGGTCTTTCTCCCTGTTTTCTGCAGCAACATGCTGGCTTCTCTCCTCCGACATCTTTTCAAGGTTCTCCTTCAGACGACCAACCAGGCTCTGGGGAGGAAACGAGGTGAACTGGTTGAACTTGTCCTTACAAAAGGTCACATGAGGACAAATGACATATGTGAACAACCCTTAGTTCTAAAACTGTAATGCAAGTGCAGTGCACCAGGGATATCACAGGTAGGATGCTGGAGTACACAGCACCAAGAGTTTTTCTTGTAACAAAAAAACCCAGAAAAACACAATAACTCAACAGAACAAACCCTGAGCCACCCCCCACCCATAAATAAATAAAGTACTTAAGGCCAATGAAAAGCCACACCTAAAACAGTGTATGTTTTAAATGTCAGGAGGATTAACACAAAAGAACAACTCAAGAGTCATTTCTTTTCTTTTTTTCTGCATTACTATTTCTTCCTATTTCCCCATAGCTAGTTTGCTTTTAACCAAGATTGTTCATAAAGATGGACGACATGACAGCTACCCAAAAGTGAAGCCAAAGCCTCCCAATCGCCCCCTAGTGACTGCCTGCAATATTGGTCACAAACCCCTGCCTCCTCTGTGTTAGTGAATAGGACATGGACCAAACTCAAAAGTCCTAGTACACGTTGAATACATGTTTTCTCAAAAAAAAAATTTATCATTTGAGGTAGTCTAGTCTTTCAACTCTGATATTTGTTCAATTGGTAATTTTCCATTTTTCTCAGCATAAGTGTGGTGCAAAAACAGTTTCAAGCATCCTTAACTTTTATTTAAAATAGGCCAAGCCAACAAAGCCTGCTATAAATTGAAATTCTTAAGAGTTTGCGGTGCTTTTCAGCGGCAAATGTATACACACACTGCTGAGAGCAGTCATATTGAGCACTTCATGTGGTCAAGAATTCACCTTTAATGCATGTAAAAACATCAATTTTTTACATGCTTCAATCTTCAATTATTAATCAAAAATACATTTATAGTGGTTGATGGATGCTTCTCTTAACCAGCACCTCAATGATACAGAGCTTTGCAAGCAACACCATACTGTTCCTTCACTTTATATTATCCCCCTCTCTTGATCAATAGAATATCAAATACTAAATTTGCATTTATAGGCTCACAAAGCCTGTCTTTTAAATTTTGTGAGGCACAAAGGATTAAGTCACCTCCAGGCGTTTGATCTGTGTCCTCTCGTACTCCAGCTTGGTCTCCAGCTCACGGATCTTGGCCTCCTGACGGCTCACGAGGGACTTTTCCACCATCGACTGCTCTTGGAACTCGAGCTGGCTCTGCACGGAGTGAAGCTTGGGGAAGGACGCACACATAACATGCACATTAACCAACCGAGGAGCGGTACTCTTTGCACACAACCGTCTTGACTTCTTGACTCTACTTTCCCACTTCATCTTTGGTGAGAACCTCCGCCAAGAAGGTTCGATTTTCATCTGCGTTAGTCTGTCTGTTTGTTAATTAGTAGGATTTTCAAAAACTACAGGGCGGATTACCAGGAAACTTGGTGGAAGGATGCAGTATGGATCATCTAATTTTGGTGTGATCCAACATTTATGAATTTATGCAATTTAGTGCAGTTTCAAATAAAAATCTGGATCTAGTGAATTTAAATGTTGTTTATAAGGAGACTGTTGGGCCTTGGTGCAGGTATGTGCTCTCTGAGTGCCGTTCGAACTGCAGATGTTTTATCTATGTAAGAACATTAAATTAGCCTTCAGCTTTCAACCCTGTGTATATCTAGCTCATCCTGCTACATGTAAATATTGTGTATCTAGTCTTAATAATGAGATCTAGATAAGCCCTCAGTCCACAAATAGTCAGGGGAAGATCAGGCTCAGGTATGTTGCAGGGCTGAGCTTCATGCAATGCATGAAAAAAGGAAGAAATATACGTCACAACAACATCAGCCCACAAGGCAGCATGGCCCCTAATGAGGGAGTTTGCATCTAAGACATGGAGGATTTGGAGTTCTCCTTTGATATTACTATAAAAGCCAATTTTCCCTCCCTTCTGGTGATGAGATAACCACTTCAAGGTCAGGCGCTTTAGATGGCTATCGCTACCTTCTCTGGCAGGTTTTAACAATGCCTTACAGCTTGTGTGTGTCTCTAGTGCAGCCAAAAACATTCAGATGGGTGAGTAGACCGGAGCGTTGGCATGTGTGGAGCTTAATATAACAGATCCAGGCTCTGCTGTTAGGGAAGCGATGAGAGATCATGCAAAATTATATTTGAAATAAATTCTGTTCAATGACAAATGAAATCCTGCACATTGGCACTAAGAGGGAAACTCTGAAGTTAGAGTGTGTGTAATGTGACACATTCAAACAGCTTCAAATTCATTTAGCACACAAATGCATCAACAACAAAATGACCATACACGACATGTTAGATGTTATCCTCTAAACAAACAGTACTTCATCAGGAAAAAGACACTTATCATAAAAGCATTATTATTATTATCACTATGACTATGATTATCCCAACGCTCAAATTAGGTGCATTAACCCTTTTTACATAATGAAGACACTTTTATTCTGAGCCTCAACCATTTAGCCGACAACTCAAACACAGTCGACAGTAACTACACCAGTCAGCCCAGAAACAGGCTAATGTCTGTATGCTAACATGCTCACTGACGATGCTTACATGATGATGTGTCGGTTTAACAACATTTGTTTTTGCAATATTATGAGAATAGAGTCGCAATTGTGAAGAAAGTCGTAATATTATGAGAATAAAGAAAAGGGGGGGTGGATTGACTAACTCATTGTTCACATTACACTGTTCATGTGTGAGAGTTACATTCCTACAGGGTTTTTCAGTTGATTGTTCCAATGATCCAAAAATGGTCAGCGTGCAGCTACAAGGATTCATCATGTGTGTCGACTAATCAAGTATTATCACATTAATAGATGAGTCATCTGTTGAATTAACAAACATCAACACCGGCGACTCTTTTTGCCATAAGTTTTCATACTTATTTTCAACTATCACAATTTTCATTAACCTGCAAATGTTCTCATCTTTTGAAATAAAATGATCTGTTGGCATTGGAATGGCCACATATTAGATAAATAACTGGGACAGAATCTGCTGCATTGAAAGAAGGCTTTCATTTTATCTAAATGATTAAACCAGGGAGTGGGACTGCTGCATTTAAATACACAATCCTTCCTTTATGTAACAGGTAATAAAAAGCTAAAGAACTATTTCTCTCCTTGACTCAAAATCATCTGACTATTTAAATTGTAAAAAAAAATGCTTTGCAATTCTGAAAAGAAAACCCCCATGGAGGTTATATGACTGTATATTATTTTTTTTCTTTTTGTCGCAATAATCAGAGGGAGTCCAAGGTCTGATCAGAGAGCAGTGTCGAGAGCAGTAGCAGCTATAAAATCAGCTGCTTTTTAAAATCTACCTTCTCTTGGATCTCCTGCTTCTCCTTCGTGGCCTCTTCCAGCTGGGCCTGCAGGTCAGTGATCTGGCTCAAGTCCCTCGCAGACTAGTACACAAAGAAACATTCAGGAGAGAATTAGGTTAGTTTATCCATGTGTGATTGTCCATGCATGTGTCAATTATCTATAAGAAAATAACACATTTTATATTGTGTTTAAAGTGATAGTGCACAATTAAATGTCTTTCTTAAGCTGTAAACTAAATCGTGTTCTTTGATGAAATACATTGATGTTGGTTTCAATATCTAATTATCAACACATTTCTTTTTTAATCTCAAAGCTCTCAAGCTCAAAACTCCATCTCGTGTTTCAAACCATCTTAAAGGGCCAATGTCTAGGTTGACTCAACTGTTTGAAACGTCTCCTGTCACTGCTCATGACTTAGAATCTGTAAAGCTGTGCTCATTTTCAAGTCTATGCGAAAACTAAACTCCTAAACCACCACACTGTCTACCATTGAGAGAAGAATGAGCCTCAGCCGTCTCTCTCTCACACGCACAAAAGTACCCCTTTCTATTCTTTTGCAATTTAATTTATTGTGTGTGTGTGTGTCTGAGAGGGGGGGGGGGTGTTATTGTTCATGCATGCTTCAATTATCTAGAAAAATATCACATTCTTTGTAAATGGTTACTGAACCCAACATGTTTGTGCCAAATACTTTGTCATGTGATCTGCTGTAGAACAGATTGCATCTCCCTGACTGCAGTGCACACACTGTGTTCAGAGGAGACTTTGTCCTCCAAACCAAAAAGCAACAACACTTTCCACATGCAGAGAAAAACAGATTATTAATGTCCATATTAGATGTTGTTTCCCACAATGTTTCAGCCTTAACAAGAATAAAGAAATCCAAATGTATTATGGACAGTGCTGTCTATTTCCTTCATATGGCTCCTGGTTAGAGTTTCCTACCTGAAGGGGGAAGTGTTTGCATTGATAACGGAGGCAGGATGAGTTACCTGGGCGACTGCAGCCTTGTGTTTTTTCATCAGCTCATTCATGTCCTCCTGATCCTCCTCCATGCGAGACTGCAGGTCGTTCTTCTCTCTCTGCAGCCGGCTGAGCTGCTCTTCCAGCTGAGGGACAGCGAGTGAAGAGAGAGAAGGAAACACACACTCACATTAGTTTAGAATGACGGGATTTATTCATGAGCTATTGAATATGATAAATGGTCATTAGCCGGCCAGGCCGTGGCAGTCCTGGAATCTCATCTAATGGCGATGAAACACAATCTGGACAGGGTTCTGGCTGGAGGACGAGACCAATTGAAGATAATCAATTGGCTCATTTAGGCCGGGGAAAAGTGCAGCCAGTGCAGCATACTGGTGATGTCCTATTTAGAGTTCATTCTCCTGTGTTCAGGGGAGGCGGAGAGGGGGGCGGGGGCCGGGGTCTTCAATATGCATTCTCTAATCTAAGACATTTACGAGACCTTCCCTTGCCATAAATGCAGCAATTAACAAGCAACACCGAGGCACACGGCACTCCCATCATCCCCAGAGACACAAACATCCCCCAGCCAACGAATCTGAAATGCAGGCGGCGCTCTCATGAGACAGCCATTAATGAGCAGAAATTTTCGTCAAAGCTTATTTATCCATTAGTGCAAAATGTTGAAATCAGACATATGCCAAAGGCCATTTATTATTTTAATATCCTACCACAGCTTGATGATGTATGCATATTGGTATTAGAGCCCCCGCTGCATTTTGAAGAGTGACAATGTTGATAGGCACAATCCAACCATTAATTAAATACTGTTTGTTGCTTCTGGTTTCATTTGCTCACCAAGGGAAGGCTATAGAAACATTTCCACAAACAATTTCCTCCTTATCAATGATGTGAAATGAAAAATGCCCATGTATATTTCATTATTCATAAATGTGTGTCATTACCCACGCTATTGATTGTGGCGCAGACAAACAAGCGCACGCAGAACTGATTGGCATTCGAGCCCACTCGAGTGGATAATTGGAACACGCCGTTAAACAGATGTCAAAAACTCACCGACATCTTAGCTTTGACCACATCCTCCATTTGGATGTGCAGGTCCTCTATTTCCAGCTCCATGCTCTTTCGAGCCTTTACCGCCGCCGCGCATGTGAACTCTGACTCCTCCAGCTGTGAGAAACAGGAAGGAAGAAAGGGGGCAAACGTAAGTAGGGCCAAGATCAAGGATCTCTTCTGGATATGCAGAGGACTGAGGATTTATCAACCTGTGAATGTTTTTATTTTCCAAAAAGATGTGTTTTGTATGTGTTGAATCATATCATAGATGTATCTGCTGAAGCACAGTGGAGTGTTCGTACTTGATTTTTGAGCTGGGCGATCTCTCTCTTGCTGGGGGCGTTGCTCTTTAGGTGGTCCAGCATAATCTGTGCATCAGCCAGAAGGACTTTGGTTCTCTTCAGGTCTTTCTTCAGCCTCTTCTCAGTCTCCACGTCCCTCTGGCTCACCTGAACAACAACACACTCCTCTCTAGCCACAGTTGTTTCACACACACACACACTTGTTTTTCCTGCCCAAAATCTCAGAGTGCCCTTTGAGACTCGAAAGCAGTTTCTTTCCAATCAAAAGGAAGTGGCCCGCACTAAATCGCACACACTTAACTGCACTGCACTGACAGGGACCAGAGTGCAGAGTGATGAGAGTACCTGGTCCTGGGCGTTGAGCAGTTTGGACTCCAGCTCTCGTCTCTCGCGCAGCACTTTCTGCTTGTCTTCGTACTCCTCCTCCAGCTGCACCTCCATCTGTTTCAGCTGCAGGACACACGCACGGAGTGTGGGGATGCACGAGCAGATGATCGGTGGCAGATAAAGTCAGACATAACACACCATCAAGCATCCTGTTAGACATGGCTGCTCTCACACATCAAAAACAAACGGTTCCCCTCCTGAGTGCTTCTGCCAGCCTCACAACACAGCTTTGAAAACCAACTCTTGTTTTCTGTCCAATTCCATTCTTTTAATTAAAAATACAGAGATCAACATTAAAACACGCTGTCCTGTTTCAATGTTGTGGCTGATCGATGTTGATATGACTGCAAACACTGCCCGGATTCTAATTTGTGTTTATTTTGTTATTAAGATTCATCTACTCTGAAAAGTTTGTGTTTGCTGTTGCTCACCAACCTTAGCAGTGCATAAACCATCATTACATATATATATAAATGAATGCAGGAATGAATAAGTAGATACATTTAATTAATAAATAAATGTATTTCTGTTTTATTTCTACATTTATTTATATATTTTTACATGTATTCATTAATTTTTTCTGTATTTCTATATCTATTTATTTCTGTATTTCTGCGTCCAGAGGTTAAAGCCAGATCTACTACTTCTTTCTTCAGTTGGCTGGTACTGTGTTCACGATAAATGTAGAAATACAGACAAAGCCTTAATTATCTATTTCTGCATTCATTTATTTATGTTTTTTACCTTCATATGACTGTGGGATGCATTCAACAACACAAACTTGAAATAACAAACTCAAAGACTTAATAAAATGGACTATACATGCACATTGAACCTCAGCACTCATATCAGAACTCTACAGTGAGTCTCTCAGAGCTTCCCTGACCAGGCCTGATTAGCTGTTAGTTCAGGATAGCAAGGCAATGTAAAGGAACATGTTGGACTAATGAAAGAGTAAGAATAAGGAGTGCCTACCTTCTTACTGCAGGATCGCCTGATTTCATCCACTTCTTCGTCCTTACTGTCGATGTCTTTGGAGTGGGTCTGCCGCTGTCTCTCCATCTCCATCTCCAGCCGCAGCTTTGTCTGAGAACAGAATTCTATGTCATTTTTGTAAATGAGATATTTTCTACCTGTCCAAAATGAGAGACTGATCCTTATGAAATTTTATTCTGTACTTTTGAAGGATGTTAGGGTAGAAGGAAGATGTTTGGGGAGTTTTGGGACTTACAGAAAAACAATGTTGCATAGCATTACATAGTTATAATAATTATAGCTTTTTAGAATTTATATAGCGTCTTTCAAGACACCCAAAGACACTTTACATGTGTCAGTGGGGACAAAAAGAGAAAAGTAAAGAAAAGTAATTTGCATAAAACAGGACAGAAACAAACAGTTAACACTCCAAGCTGCGATTAGTGCTGAGGCCAAAGACCTGAGTGAAAAGGGGGTGTTTGAGGAATGTTTTGAAGATGCAGCATTGCGAATTTCGGCGGGGGGAGAGTTCCAGAGGGTGGGGGCTGTGACACAGAAGACTGTCTCCAAAGGTTTTCAGTTTGGTGTTGGGGATGGAGAGAAAACCTGTGTTTGAGGACCGCAGCCTTCTGAGCAGAGTGTACGGGTGGAGGAACTCAGTTGGATTTGGTGGCGGCAGAGTTCTGCACAGACTGAAGTCTGTTCAGGACATTGTCTGGAGTCGGGGAGTGAAGGCCAGAGTCTGGAGATGTTTTATTTTTTAAGAAGGCGAATTTGGTGACGAATTTGATGTGGGATTGGAAAGAGAGGGTGGACTCAAGAATGACACCCAGGTTGCGGACCTCGCAGGATGGGAAGATGGAGCAGCCGTCAATGTCGAGGAAGAGATCTCCAATCTTCTGGAGCAACATAGGCTGCTACGTAGGCAGCTTTCAGTAAGAACCACACTGCGGATGTATCGCTATGACAAACTTTTTTTCCCAGATACATTTGATGTCAAAATTGAGCTTTGGCCACCAAACTCTAATCAGGTCATCCATGAGTCCAACAGAACACGTGTGCCGAATTTAAAGAAATTCCTACAGTGTTTTTGAGATGTTCACAACAATGGGATGGATTGAACACCCGAAAACATGATGTCTCCAGCTACTGGCTATTGTAGGCAGGGATGCATACAAATTAGAATTATACATACGTGTATGAAATACAACATCTGCACCACCCAGTACCTGCTCCAGCATCTGGATGGTTCCAGCCTGTTCGTCAAGCTCCTCCTCCTGGTCTTTCACCTTTGCCTCAAGGTCGCGAAGCTGCTTCTTGACCTTGGCCAGAGAGGCTTCATCCTTGGACTCCTGGGAGGACACGTCCTGTAGCTCAGCCTCCAGCTGCTGCACCCTCATATTTGTGGCGCACAACTCGCCGTCCTTGTCCTGCAGGCCAGAGGAGATGTAGTAAAGGAACACATCTGGACCAGCCTAGTTATGTCATACACAGAGCAGGGAGACCAGACTTGTCGTCCCCTGGAGAGTACATCACAGTATCTGGAGTGTAGTTCTGTGCGGTGGCTCACCTGCAGCTGCTGGCGGAGGTTAAACATCTCACCAGTCATTATGTCTTTCTCTCGAGCCAGTTTCTCCCTCTGGCTCCTTTCTCTTTGTACCTCAACCTGAGACTGGTTCTGCTCCAGGTCAAACCTGGAACACACACACACACACACACACACACAGTAGACAGCTCAGCAAAATGTTACTTTCACATAAGACTGAGGTTTCATATACCTCTTCTATACCAAAATTTGCAGGTATACGTTTAAGTTTTTTGAAAGGCAATTAGCTCCTTCCCCGTTGCCAGCAGAGGAGTTGAAACTTGCCAAAAAATGAGGTGCTCCCTAACTTCACTCTTGCCAAACTAGAGTGTTCACGCAGGTGTTACATTCCCATCAATGCGTAAAAGCATACAAAAATGGGGCATAAAAACAGATATCTACTGCAGAGACATTTGACCCAGGAGTGAACGTTGATTGCATCCATTCTGACTGCAGACAAAAGCCAGATGTAAGTGGGTGCGTTTTTTTGACCAGTGGATAAGGACTTATATAGAATAATAGTACTGTGCCGGATCTGTTATTGCCAATTGACTAAAGTATACCAGCAGCAAAAAACTGTAATAGTCTTGTGTATTGGTACAGTGCAGTTACTGTATGTATAAATATAAATATAAAATAATACAATAATGAGTGTGTTAACTAAATATCAAACCTACATGCAACTTCAGCACCTTCTATTTTCCGCTTAGAGTCCAGCATCAGCTCAACACTGCCTCTATTGCAGCCTCTACAGTTATCCACTTCCATTAGCCTTCAATTTACAATTGGGTTGTAATAATGTACAAAATGTTTTCTTCAATTGTCTAGGTGAGAAGCACTTATGGTTAGTGAACTTAATAGCTAAGTGTTTCATGCTGTCAGCTCGTTGTAATTCCCTGTTTTTTTTTCTTCTTCTTCTCTCTGAAGCGAAGCTGAAAATAATTTCACCCGCAGAGCATCTTCAATTAACCACAGGGGAGAGATCACATTCCTGCCACAGCGATAGCTTCTCAAGTGCCTCAAGTCTGAGTCATTTTCTCAGCTAATGCAATTCCGCAGATTACAGAACATCTCAGTCACTATTCGAATTAAATGAAAACTTTTGTGTTCCTTCCAAGTGGGAGCACAGACACTCTGAGGAGAGGGCAATATGTTCCCTATAGTGTGAGTCTATGAATGACAGAGGTACAGACAGGATGGATCAAGCATGTGGACAGACAAAGGGACAGATTGCAGTTGAGACTGACTTCCTCTGCTTCTTCTCCAGATCGTGGTTGCGGCTCTGCAGTCCCTCCAGGTGAAGCTTGGTATCCTGCAGCTCTGCCGTCAGTTTCTGGCACTTCTTCTTTAGCTGCTGCACAGAGCGCTGCACATCCTCATTATCCGTCTGCAGATCAGCCAACTGCAGCACACACACGCAAAAACGTATTTTTTATTATTTTTTTATGGCAGTTTAATGCATTACATTATTGCATTTATGCAGCTAGCAGGCAACAAGTGTGTCGTATATATTAAATAGACCATTTTTTTAAATAATTGAATATAATATAATATAATATATATAATAAAGTGTCTTGCCCTCCTCTCAGCATGTCTCTTGCTCTGCTGCTCAGTCTCCAGCTTGTCATCAAACTCTTGCTGGAGTTTCTTCTTGGTGAACTCCATTTCCCGAATGGCTCGGTTGTATTTTATCTGCCACTCGCCTCCTGGAGGAGAAGACACAGAATACAGAGAGAAAGCCAGTGTGTGAAATGTTGGTGTCTCTTGCCTTTAATGCAGGCCTAGCAATATTATACAGGCTCAAAAGCTCAGGGATGATTGATGCTGTGGATTATGACGTCCACTGCACTGGTTGCAATGGTTATCACACACAGGACCAAAATAATATAATCTTTTAGGGGGGATAAAACTTCTTCTTTCATCAAATCCTGAACTTAAGAGGTCAAAAAAGAAAATGACAGAAAACTACAAAACAGCCATTACTTTTCACCTCTAATCTTGGATAAACCTGAGGTAAGAATTCCAAGCACACCACAATAGTAGTTAGCGAAGGACATGTCTAAGTGGCACTTTCCACAGTTCTTAGCCGACCCTAATTCTGGAGCTGTCAGAGGCTATCAGAAGTATAACAGCGGCCAGGCAGACATTCAGGTTCAGGTTCATTTCCAAGCCTTATCATTTTAGAGGCTGTCCATTTCTCCTTCACATTCCAACACCGGCTCTTCCATCAGTGCCGCTCATTAGCATATATATAGCATAATGACAACTTGCAGGGCCACCGGCTCTGATCCCAACGATTATTTTCTCGTTCGTCTAAGAATTCTGAGATGCTCTGTAATGGCTTGTCTGGCTGAGGTGGGTTGAAGGGGGTAGGAACACAAGAAAAAGAAAAAAAAAAGCCTTCTGGACAATATGCTGGAGGCGGGAGCTCTCTCTCCCAGCAGGGGGAGACCAGTCAACAACAGGCTTTAGTTGTATGCCCGAGAGCAAACATCTTAATCCCCTAGTGGTACATTGCAAACTTGGACCAAGTCTTACAGCCACATCTCCTGCTGGAGCAGTCAGACAAAGACAATCATCCCTGCCGCTACACTTAGTATGGGGGAGATTTTGATAAACTGTGCACATAATGCTGATATGAGCCATTCAGGGAATTATGCTTCGGACCTGATATGACATACCCATCAAGCATGCTGAGGAAAGTTGTTGCACGCGTCATAAGCTGCACTGAATTCTCGAATTTACTGCAAATGTTAAAAATGATCCAAAAAAGTGAGAAAAGGTCACAGGAAGTCACGTTAACAACTTCCCCTTTTGTTTGGTTCTTAATTTTGGGTGCCAAATGAAATTAATGGGAAAATGAGATTGTCTGGTGGCTGCGGTGTCACAAATAATAACTTGCGGTTTCTCGCTCAACCAACCAGCATCATCGTCACTGTCCATCTCCCCGTTGAGCTCGGCCGTTTTCATGAGTCGAGCTTCCATCACCTCCATCTCCTGTGCTTCTAATTGTTTCTTCATGGCATCAAACTTGGCCTGCAATCACAGATTCACCCACCACACACACACACACAGAAGATGTGAGGCTTATTAGAATATTTACAGTGTGTTTTATAATTTTTTTTGTATTTTTAGTGTGTGCATGTGCCTGCAGATCCTTCATGTCCTTCTCCAGGTGGAGTCTCTCTGAAGTCTCCGTCTCCAGCAACTGCGATGCCGACTCACTCGTGCTTCTCTCATCTGCGAGCTCCGCCAACAAGTCTGCAATCTGGACAAAAGCACAGGAACACAGCGAGTAAAGCAAAACAACATAATACTCCCACCACATTTTTAGTACGAGTAAGCAAAAAAATCTTGAAGTGAAATCCATTACACTGGATATATTTTGCTCACACTGCACACGTTTTACACTGTATATATTATTCTATTTTTGCTTTTCCTTGTGTTAATATTGCATGTTTACTTATGATGTCTATCTTTTGACTGTCCTCTTTGTTGCTGCAACCCAGCACATTTCCCTGTTGTGTCTAGTAAAAGATGATCTTATCTCTTATTTTAATAAAAATAAAGAGTGTAACTCCACTGCCAATTTTGAACACCATCCTCCCAGCATGCATTGCCATATGCAAAGGGACCCACCCTGCTCTCCATTCGATCCGTGTTCAGCCTCAGCTCATTTCGCTCCTTCTCCACCCTCTCGAGCTTGGACTTCTGCAGCTGCATCTCCTCCTGCAGCAAAGAACATAGCAACATGTATTATAGGTTTCATGTTGTGTCACAGGTAAAAGTTTAAAATATTAAATTTAACGAGAAATATTAAGCATTGATGACAGGAAGCGCCATGCTGCCACGGCCAGGAGTGAATTCTGAATGTGGATTAGAGGCCGTCTAGCTGAGTGGAATCTATAAGGAGCGGGGACATCAGACAGAGAGGTCTGCTCACGTCTTTGCTTCGCATCTGCTCCTCGGTGAGCTGGACCTTAATAAGCGGTTGGACTGTGGTGAAGAGTTTCCACCAGGGCCAGTGCTTCACACCACGGTTCTTCTGGATGTTTTTCTGGATGCAGCGGATTGCTAGATCCTGAACCTGAGCACACAGTCGAGACAGAGAAGCAGTCAAAATATATGCACACACTATA